CAGGCTTAGTTAGCTCAGGAGCCTAATCCAAGACAATGGTCTAAACATTTTTTATATACCATGCTTTGATGCTTATATTTTTATAAAGGAAAAAAAATCTCACTTCTGATTTCTAACACCTTTCCAAATCGGATCTTTGAGGAATGTGTTCTGAAAATACAGTTCTGAAAATACAGTGAACTCAGAAATGGTCCATACTTAGCTCATCCCAAGTCTGTTTATTCTCCATTGCTTTAGTGAACAGCTGAATGAGATACAAAACACCGAAGTCCTTCCTCAGAGTTACATAGTTTATGGTGTCTTTCCCTATTGACCAACCCCGCTCCTGCCCCCAACCTTCCCTTAACTGTTATTCGCATCTGTGCCTTGTTGCATATGAATTGGTGTTGGGACTCAGTTTTTCCTGTGTTTAGAAGCTAAGAGCTGGCCAGTTTACAGCAGAATGCAGACTTCCCATGCAACAGCAGGAGACAGGAGCCATTTGATAGTCAGTAGCAGACTTGTCTGGAGAGCCTGGGTTCCAGTCTCCACAGCTTTCTTATTTTGCATTTTGCCAGTTGAGAGCTCCAGGGCTTGCTAAAGGTTCCAGGGGATGACATAAAACTTCAAACCCAGGTGCTATCGCTGGGCATCCACAAATCTACCCAAGCACAGCGGGGACAAGTAAGGGCCTGTGCTGAAGTCCTGTGGGGAGCTTGCCCCTTTCCACTGCTTTGCACTGTGTGCTCCTTTGGCAACTAGCAACAGCTCCATTACCTCGGTGTGTTTCTGGGGAAAAGTTGACTGGGCACTGTTTAATGTGGGTAGGACTCCAGTCTCTGGGAACCCAGTTCAAGCTAGAATCTAGGATTTATTTTTGTTGTTGTTGTTAACCTATTCCTTACAAATGAAGCACATCCCTGGGGCCATCCCACGCTTTGGGGAGAGGGGTTAAAAGAAATCTTCAAATCTGGTGCTGAGACCATCACTGTCTCTCTTGCAGGGATTTGTTTGAACTCAGACCCATCTCACATAGCCAATTTACACCTCTTATCTGATCATACAGTCCAGACAGAAGGTTGGATAGACTGTGTCAGCCCGTGTCTATGGCGATGGTGTTCAAGCCCAGCACAGATCAAAGCTTTCCCAGCCAAGGGGGGGAGGGGGAGGGGGGCATTGGTACTGAAGTCTGGGTTCTTTGGGCTCCAAGTGATGTGTCCACGAGGCAGGAGGTGGGAACTTTTAGGAGGGGGAGGTGCTATCCTCATCCACTGTCAGGGCTGGGCGGGGTGAGGTGCCCTCCCCCCCCCAGCCCCCCCACACACGGATTGAACGCTAACACAGCTTCCAAGCCAGCACTGCAGGGGAATGGCTAGCGCCAGGGGGCTCTCCTCTCAGTCAGAAACCGAAGGGAAAGGATAGGGGGAGGGAGCGAGCCGAGTAGTGAGCACGCGCCAATAATCCCAGCCTGGAGCCCCCACTCTGCCCGAAGAAATTCAACCCGAGCCACGGAGGCGGCCGCAAGCAAGGATGGGCGGGATTCGCCAAACTTGGTTTGGAAAGCTGATTCCCGCCCTGTAACCCTGGGATGAGATTCCCCAAGCTGTCCATTCCATCCCACCCCTCCTACCCCAGGCCCCAGGCGGCTCGGTGGGTTCCACCTACACACTCTCTCTCTCTCTCCCTCTCTCTCTCTGGGAAGATTAGCCCTACCGACGTCACTCCCTTCTGGTCGCCCTCTCCTCCATCACCTCCAACTGCCTGACCCGGTGGGGGCGCCGCCAGCCTCAGGCGAAGGTTGGGGGCAGTCGTTTAATGGCAGTTTGCCTGGCTTCCAAGAACTTACGTTGATATGAAAAAGATCGATCAGTGAAAATGAGGGGACTGGAGCTCTCTCCTCTCCCTCCCCCCCACTCATATGCAAAAGCTAAGCTCTGGGAGGAGGGGCGGCCTGGGCTGCGGGCCCTGCGGGGCGGGTTCAGAGCAGAAGAGCCGCAGCCGTAGCCCAGACACAACTTTCTGGCACCCAGCAAAGCAACGCCAAGGACGCGCCGCGGGCTTCGGCCCCGGGTGCCCCAAGTCCGGAGGAGGAGTGTGAGGCGCCAGCGTCTGGGAGGCGTGAGCCTGGGTTTTGCTCTTCCCTGGGAATATTGTTGCCTAATAGAATGTTTATGGATTGCTCAGCTCGGTTTCTGCTGCGTAGCCCAAACAAATCGATGCAGCGCTCGGGGCCGGGCGGTGCCGGGGGGGGGGGGGGGGGGTGGCTGGGGGAGACACCGCATCTCCACCGCATCTCCCTCCACCACGTGGACGCCAGCGCGCCGCGTGCTCTTCACCTGTTCGGTCGCCCCTGAGAGCGAGCGCGCAGCGCTTCCGAGAGCGTGCGAGTTGGCGCGCATCGCCGCGGCTCCCGCTGGCTCCTTCCCGCTTCTCTCCCCACCGCCTTCGGCTCGGGCTCCCCGCCACCCTGCTCCGCCAAGCCTCTGGGCCCCCCCGCGCCCTCAGAGCCCACTCTCCAGAGGCTGCGGCGAGCCTGCGGCGTAGAACCCGTGCGCCAGGGCGGGAGGGGGCGCTCCGGGCAGCGGCAGCAGAGCAGCCCGCCCGGAATCCCCGAGCCCGAGCGGAAGAGGGAGGCTGGCGGCTGGGCTGCAGTCAGGCCAGGCAGCGTCGGGCGGAGAGGAGACGCGTGGTGCGTGGTGCCTAGGACCCGGCCTCTTGCCAACCCAGGAGAGGGAAGGGGGGGAGGTGGATCTGCGCTCTGCCACCCCCAGGTCCGGGTATTTGCTCAGTTGCTCCCCGGGGCAAGCTTTCCGCCTTCTTTCCCCCCTTGATTCCTTCTCGGAATCGGTTCTGGCCGCCGCTTGGGGCGCCTGGGCCGGCCCACCGCCCAGCCCGCGCACGCCGGGTGAGTCAGAGGTCTCCTTCGGCCTCGCCCTTTGCCACCCGACGCCAGCTCCCGAGGTGCCCGTCGGTCGCTCTGGCTTGCGATCGGCTTTTTCTGGCAGTTGGAGAAGACCTGCTATGGGCAGGTCCCGACTGCGTTTCCACTCCCGTGGCCAAAGCGGCCCGCAGCCTCCGGAGTGGGTGACCTGCCCCCCCCCCCCCGCACTCCGCGCCTCGGTGACGCAGCGCGAGCAGGGGTAGGGAGGGAGGGGGCTCTGCGGAGAGCGCGGGAGGCAGGTGGCAGAGCGGGAGCGGGTCCGAGCGGGTGTCGCACACACGTACGCAGACTCTGCACAGCGCTCGGGGACAGATGTGGGAACATCTGGACTAGGAGATGGCCTCGGGAATCTTCGGAACCTCTCCCTGTGCACCCAACCTGCACCCAACACACGGAGCCTGAAGTTGTCCTGTGTATACGTCCGGGTGTGTGATGTGTGTGCCAGTGTGCGCGCACTCGCACGCCGGGGCCTACCGGAGTCCACGCCTGGATGCATAATACACCGTGGGCATTCTCACGGCGCGCGCGCGCGCACACGCACACGCATCCAGAGCAAATCACACAAACATACATAATTTACGCGGCACTCAGATCTGTAGGAAGTAATTTAATTTCACTTCAAGCTGGGAATTTAGAACTAAGCCATGAAGGGATAGGAGGCCCCGAAAACCTCTCCATGGTCGGACTCGCACTAGTCCCTTGGGTGGGATCTGCAGCTGTCGATTGACCAGTTATGGCAGAGGAAGAGCTGCCAAATGGTCAGATTTAGACGGCAAAGGCAAACCTCAATCTTCCAACCTCTCCAAGAAACAAAAAACATCCCGAAACACCCCAGCTCGAAGCCGCTGCGTGTATTGCGGGGGGAGGAGGAGGGCTGAAAAATCAGTGCACCGACCAGGCGCATAGCTTTCTGCTCAGGACCCGCTACGCTACTCAAGGTGCTGAGAGAGACGCGGGAGGCTATGCGGAGTCAGCCCCGCCGCCAGCGACCCGTACCTTTCCAGTCCTCCGGAGTAAAGACGCTTCTGGAATCTTCCTCCCCTACTTTCTTTCCTATTTCCTCCATAGATGGTTTCCCATCCTCAATCACCTGTAGCAGCTGTTAAGAGTTTGTCAGATTCGCAGAGCAGAGAGGGGCTCACCTGGAGTGTGGTCCCAGGATGGAAGGGCTATAAGCCCCTACTGCAGGAGTCCCTGAAAAGAGAGATCCCTTCTCAGGGAGAGGAGGACCTCTAGGCACACCCTACAAATAAATGCTAGGACCCTAGTGGGCCTCACCATGCTTATCTCCGCAGTCTGTGTCCACACACCCTTTTTGGCAGAGGTTGAAAACACATTCCACTCAAAAGTTTCTAACCACTTCACAAGAGTGAGAGGCCTTCCAGGGCCATGCAGTTTGTTTTATCTACTAATAATTTTTTGAAAAGAACATATGATTTACTTTCCCAGAAAACACATGGATGTAAGAAAGAGAGCAGGGACCACCAACTGCCTTGAATGCCAGCAGCGCCCAGCAGAAAGCTCCTGTCTCAGCCGCTAGCCAGCCAGCTTGTTCTACCAGCCTGAGTTCTAGGGTTTCCAGGCTGAAGCACCCATTCTGTATAAAAATCCACAGCATCTGAAACCCGAACTAGACTCTGGTCTTTCCCAAACCCAACATTGCTCAATGTAGCTAAGTGGAGAGAATGCAAATGATTTATATTTCCCTGGCTAGGTTGAAAAAACTCAAGGGAGATGTGTTCTGCTTCAAGACAGGGGGGAAAAAATCTCCCCAAAACTGTAATGCAAAGGCTTTGTAGTATTTTTAAACCTTTGATTCAGTCCATATGTGACATCTGAACACTGCCAAATTCTGTTACAAAACACACACACACACACACACACACACACACTCCTAGCAGGAGAGAAAAGTTGGATTTAGTAACCCTGGTGGTGTGGAGGGCTGGCTAAGATCTCTCTTTAAATTATTGAGGGAGCCTCCTCCAAAGCCTTTCTGCGCGGGCCTCCCTGCATTAACATCCGCTTTCAAAGGGGGTAACCATATTGAAATGAAGGGGGGGGGGAACTTTGAGGGGCTTACCTGGTTGGCCTCTCACTTCCTGTCCTGAAAAGTAGAGAGCTAAGAAAACCCAGGTGAGTGGAACCATATCCATTTTGGTGAGACAGGCTTTCTCCAGGGCTGGGCTTATAGGATTCTTGTGTAATTATAAGTCTTTGTGTTTTTTCTCCTCTCTCCTATTTTCTCGCTTTCAATGTCTTCTGCACAGGCTTCTAATGGTCAGTGAGTGTTTCCTTCCTGGGGTCCCGGGCGGCCCGTCTTCACCTTGCTTCTTGCTGGAATTCCCACCTGGTCAGGAGGAGGGTAGCGCTCGGAATCAGCCAAGAGGGAACAAGCCGGCAAGAGGGCACGGGTTTCCTCTCAAAAACAAAACGCATCTATGTGCTTTCCAGTTCCTCAAAGTGTCATTTCCTTTATCCTACAACATCGCGAGTATTTCCCGAAAGCCAAGCGTAAGTGAATAATAATAACGATAGTGGTAGTAGTAGTAATAATAGTAATAATCAAAGGCAAGACTTGCCTTGGGCATCCCACTGTGCCCCCGGCAGCGCTGCGATCTCAGCGGCGTACCCCGACCCTCCGCGCCCGGCACCCGGGACAGACACGCGGGCGAGGCAGGGACGGCTGGACAGCCGGAGTGGGAGGCGGCAGCCTCGCTCTTGTCCTCGCTGGGTTCCCCTACTCTCCCAGCGGCGACACCCGCTTGGCCAGCCTCTCGAGGGGAGTCGGAGGAAGGAAGCGGCGGCGGTGGCGGCGGCGGCGGCGGCGGGTGCTGCGGCTGGAGCGGCGGCAGCTGGGATCGCCTGGGAGTGAGCGAGCCCCTCTCCGAGTTCGCTGGCGCCCGCCCTCACCTCCACCTCGCCCAGCGGCTCGCCGAGGGTCTGCGCGTCTGAGGAGGTGGCCGGGCTGGGGTGGTGGTGGGAGGGGGTGGGGGGGAAGCGGACTGCGGGCTGCCGCCTCGCTCGCTCGCCTCCTCTGCCTCCCCTCCGGCTCCCCCCGCTGCCTTTTCAGGCCGAGCAGCATGTGGATGTCAGAGCCGCGCAGAGCTATCCGATTACGCGCCGGCTCAGGGCCCGCCCCTTCTGTGTTCCTGATTAAAGAGGCAGCGGCGGAGACGCGCGGCGCACAGCCCGGAGCCGCTGCACCCGCTCGGGCGGGGCGCGCGCTCCCCTCCGCACCCCACCTCCACTCCCGGCTGCCGCCCGGTCTAAGTTCACGCACCCCTCTGCCACCCCGCACCTTCCACCCGGCCCGCACACCTCAGTGCTCGCCGCCGAGAGTGCGTTATGCCCCAGGGAAGCAGCCTCTGCCTCCCCGGGTACCTCCGGGGCGCGCTGCCCTTGGCCGCATCGCCCCCGCCGGAGGGACTCCGCAGCATCGCGGACCAGGGCGTGTGTGTGCGTGTGCGTGTGTGTTGGGGGGGGCATGCTTGTTCCCCTTCAAGTCTGTGACTCCGAGGCCACACACGCAGAGCCCAACACAATGCCGGTGCGCAATGGCGTTCGCCTCACGAGTTGGGTGGCTGCGGTGTTTGGGGCAGGGAACTGCTCCGCAGCTCGGCCGTGCGTTCGCAGAGGCAGCCGTGCGTGGCGGCGACACACGCGCACCGTCCGCCCGCGCGGCCTCGAACCCCACACCCTCCCAGCCTTTACTACTCGGGTCCTTTGTTGTGTCCCAGCAGGCTCCGAGGCTCCCTTGGATTAGGAGTTAGTTATTTAGGACTCCTCAGACCAGTGAAGATTTTTGTAAAGAATTTCTCCAGGTAGTGACATTGGGTCCAGCCCTCAAGAGTCACCCCAGAAAGCACAAGTACACGAAGCCTTCTCCCGGAAATGCTGTTCACATTTTTTTACATGGAAATGTGGTCAACACACACACACACACACACACACACACACACATCCTCACAGCATTATGCCAACTATTTTTAAGCGGAGGCGTGAAAATTGTGTAAGGGTTGCTAGCTGAAGCTGACAGTTGGAGGAAAACACTTGCATCTTTGTTTCTGGGGATGACCATGGATTCCCAAATGTCTGTTCACTGGACCCTATTACTCTGCTATCATAAAGACTCAATAGAAAAAGAAAAAAAAAAACTCATACCCCTCCGCATCAATGCCTTTACTTCCGGTCTGCAGACGAAAGGTAAGCGAAGTTTGGGTGACCAAGGCACACACATCTGACTATACCATTTCCTTCTTTGCTTATACTTGCGGATCTTCTGGGTGGTATTCCTTCTTATCTGGAGTTGCCATTAGCTCTGTTTATCACTTTCAGTGTTTGAAAAATCTGTAACTCCCACTTAACTGTTATTTACACGGAGATAACCCGAACAGAATTGAATCAGAAGTGATGTGCAACTAGTTCAGCCAAATGATAGAGGGATTTTGCCTTGGAAATCCACAGGATTTTGCTTTGGAAATCCAGGGCAGGTAGCAGAGGCCTCCTGACTTCTGCTAGGGACCATGCAGCATACACAACCTTAATCACTCAGTTTCCCTTTCCTTCCACTCTCTACCTCCTTCCTTAGACTGGAAAGCACAAAGTATTTCAAACTACTCCAGTTCAACAATGTTCCTATTTAAAAGTTCACTTGTGAACTTTAAATGAATCCCAGCCCCACATATTTGATGAAGAAAAGGGGGTGGTCTGGATTTTGAACCTCATTCAGAGATCCCAGATTATGCCATTGCCAGAATGCAAACCAAAGGACAAATAACACGATATGCTACGAGAGTCCATGAGCAGAAAGGATCACTTAGCATCACCTCTCCCACTACTCACCAAACCAGCAGGTGAGTGCTGGCCTGGCCACCATAGCTAGAGTTTAGGTAAAAGGCATGGTGAAGACAAGAGTGAGAAAAAGGAAACAGGAGCCCTTAGAGAACCCAGAATTGGTAACTCTAGATTGCTAGCCTTGGGGTCCCAGAATTGAAGTCCTATCAGGTTATTTCCAGAGTCCTGAGTATGGTCTGGAAAAAGTCAGGGAGAGTGTCACTGTACTGTTCCTGGATCCACACCCAATATGACAATTTTCATTTTTCAGAGGTACCCTAAAGGGGGCGCTAACTTGCTTCCTGGGAGCCTGTGTTCTGTCTGCTGCAAGACTACTCAAGCAGCCCACTAGGGTAAAGGCTTCCTTTCCTGCATGGGGTTGGGAGAAGAGCCTTAGGTCCAGAGCTCTAGGGACTCCAAGCAGCCATAACATTTTTCAGTCCTCAAGGGGGCAGCACTCAATAAATAATGCCACCACCACCTACAATCACAACTGTGGTGAGTGCCTTTGCTTCTAAGAGCTCAAAGCATTTCATGGGGCTGTGGAAAATTGAGAATGAGGCTAGCTCTCTCTCCTCCAGTCCACTCTGAACAAGACCCTACCAGCCTAGGGAGGGCTGAGAATTGCTAAGGACTCTTAAGAACAAGGCACAAATCCCACATGTGCCCCACAGTCTTGACAGCTGTAGGGAAATTCTCCAGATAGGGGCTGGCTTACACCTGCCAGCCTTGTTTGTTTCTAGACTAGAATCTTTGGGGTTCAGCTTCAATTGGTTTGGTTTCTACCAGAGGTGCAATGATGAGGAGCCAGATATCAAAGGGCTCTGTGAGTTCATGTCCTTGACCTGCAAGAAAGCCTACAAAAAGGCCACATTGGTGCAAGAGACAATAGGGTTATGAGTAGAATCACTGAACTGGCTAGGAAACAGCTAGCTAGTGACCACATCACTCATTAGCTTTAATTGTGAAATAATAAGAGATCATCCTATCCTACATTCCATTCTTTTGACAGGAAAGGATGTGGGGGAACATGGAATGAATGTGTAAATGATGACAAGAGAAAGCTGTTTTTCAGTCACATCCCAGTGGAAAGTTGGGTTGCTTCCAGATAGCCCTAAAATCATCTAGGACAAGTATAGATCCCTGAACACCACCTGGACTCCTGGACTCCTGGACCACCAACTGGACTCCTCAGGTCATATATATCCATGCTGGGATTTGAACCTGTGGCCTTGTATTTGCTAGGCAAATGCTGTACACACTTCCAGGCCCCCTCCTTTTATTCTGTTACTTTTCTGAAAGTTTATCATGCTTTTCTGCCCTCAACAGCCTCCCATATAGCTGGAATTACAGGGGGTACCCCAGCATACCTGGCTTATTCCTTGATAAAGAGTCTAAATTCATTTTTTCCCAGCTGGTCTTGAACCTCCATTCTCCTATTTCTCCTCCTGTGATTATAGGCATGAGCCACCTGTGCTGGCACAATCTGTATTAAAATACACATGCATTTTAGATGATTCTTATGCAAGAAATAATTCTAATGTATTATATTTACATACAGGCTTAATACATGTTCTTCCACAAAAGGACATCTGGACAAGTATCCCTTCACAGTTTCTCTCTGGACACTTTCTAGAGAAGGGGAAGCTGTTTCAGGATGCAGAGAAAAACTACAAGAACACATCTTTTAAAATACCAACGTGATTGGGTTCCCAGGTTTACCCTCTGAGTTTCAGCCTTAATAACCCGGAGCCTGAAACACACACACACACACAGAGCTCATCCTGTATGGGCAGGAGGTGTGCAAGAATGTTCAAAGGACCAGTGGGCAGGGTTTGTGAACTAGGGCCACCCTTTACCCACTCCCAACCATAGACCATTACTGGAAGTTAGCATCAGGTATGGCTTTCCATCTGTGCTTGTCACATTGTACTTATTAAATGCTCATGGAGGCATGACTGCACAGGAGGTATGGAAGCAAGACAGACCTAAGGTCTTGCCTCTTGGGAACACAGGATCTAAGAGCTCCAGAAGTTTCGTGCTTCCACTATAGACGCTGCCCGTCACATAGTGCTTCCCTTACCTCAGCCTGAACACTGACAAGCTCTCACCCTGAAAGGGGTGAGAGGAGGCATAATTGCATCTTAATCTGTAATTTACCACACTGTCCTCGGTAATGTTTAGCTACATCTGTCTCAGAAGCAAACCTTCAGTTAAAAAGTAATAGGTCCTCATTTTTTATTCTCTCTCTTGTTTGACATTGAAGTCCAGGTTGTAATCAATAGCGTTGATTCACCAGCCCCTTCCCACTCACTTTGAAAACAATCAACCCCCCCTCAACATGGCTAATTAGGTTTTATTTGATTTTATCTCTAGTAGGTTCCCACAGTCCTTGCAGATTTCCAGTAAGTATTGAAATCTCTTTTACCTGAACTACATGTGTCTCTTCCTCCTCTTCCTCAGACACAAACAGTGGATCTGGTAGGAGGAAACCTCATAAATGAAAACAACCTCAACACAGCAAGAATTGTATGATATTCATTCAAACAGCTCTTCTTGGCAAAAGTCACTAAAAAGTTCACACTTCAAAACAAGACAGAGAAGCAGACAGGAACAGCAGACACCTTGAAGGCAGAGTGGATGACCATAGGTCATCTCACATTTCTAATGAAAGGTTTGATTTGAATGACTTTTTTTTTTTTGGTCGGCCGTGGGGCTTGAACTCTGGGCCTGGGTGCTGTCCCTCAGCTCTTCAGCTCAAGGCGAGCGTTCTACCACTTGAGCTACAGCACCACTTCCGGTTTTCTGGTGGTTTATTGGAGATAGGAGTCTCACGGTCTCTCCTGCCCAGGCTGGCTTTGAACCGCAATCCTCAGATCTCAGCCTCCTGAGTAGCTAGGATTACAGGCGTGAGCCACCAGCGCCCGGCAATTTGAATGACTTTTAACCCTATTTGTTTTTGGATTTGGGCTAGATCTCTTTCCTAGTCCTAGTCTCATTCATGAAATTAAAACTGGTTTTAGTCTGGATTCCACAGTCCACCTCCAGTCTTCTGAAATTAATTATTATTTAAGAATTTAAATGTGTTTATGGGGCTTCATTGAATACTGCCAACCCATCTTCTTTTCTCCA